CCCTGTGCGTGTTTCCTCCGGGTACTCCGGTTTCCTCCAACACTCCAAAGACATGCTGGTAGGTGAATTGGCTCCTGTCTAAATTGTCCCTAGTATGTGTATGTATGAATGTGAGTTAGGGACCTTAGATTGTACCCCTTGAGGGTTAGGGACTGATGTGAATGGACAATATATATGTAAAGCGCGGCGTAAATTGACATCGCTATACAAGTACCTGAAATAAATAAATAAGTCATCATTTGTTCAGTAACAGATAATTATCACAAAATATTACGAAAGGAAACAAAATCTCCCAAATCAGCGCTGTGTTTTTTTTGTTTTTTGTTTTTTTTTTTGGAAGGAAGGAGATATAAAAGCCTCTGGTCTTCTGCGGGTCAATAAATCAAAATCATTCAGAACGAACGATAAAAAGTCCACCAGCTGCTGGTAAGTCTGCACCAGGGAAGGGGCTACACAGCACGGCCGGCCTCGGGCGGAGGGCTCAGCTGCTGCCGAGATCAAAATAAAAATCGCAGAAATATTTTTCAGTCCGAGGCGATCTCCTTTTCTTATGACGGGAGGACAGAAACCTCTTTTCCTGGCAAACCAGACTGAGGACCGGTTCAATGGAGTGGAATAAAAATAGGAGAGACGCTCTGCATTAGGACCACGTGGTCATTTCTAGTCTCCGTGTTGGAAGACTCATTCAGAAACACAGGGGGGACTGGGAACGCAGATCGAATGAAGATCATTAACCCCTCGCTGGTCTGCGTGCAGCCAAAAAACAAAAACCGCGATTCTTCACAATGCCGGAGGACACACAACCACCGAGCATAGAACAAAACATTCCACTGATTCTGGGAATGCCATTATATTTACATTGTAGGGTCAGCCAATGTGTCTGAAGCAACTCCTGGTACCAGGCAGGATCGAACTTACACTGCGTTCCAAATTATTATGCAAATTCTATTTAAGTGTCACGAAGATGAAATATTTTGTTTTTCAGTGGAACTCATGGATGGCATTGTGTGTCAGGGCTCTTTTGAACACTGAAAACAATCTCGGACAACTGTGATAATTAGATTGGCCGGTGAGCCCAATTTAAGGGAAAACTACTAAAGGAGGGTGTTCCACATTATTAAGCAGAGCACCATTTTCAAGCAATATGGGGAAGAAAAAGGATCTCTCTGCTGCCAAAAAGAGTGAAATAGTTCGATGCCTTGGACGAGGTATGAAAACATTCGATATTTCATGAACACTTAAGCGTGATCATCGCACTATGAAGAGATTTGTGGCAGATTCAGAGCACAGACGGGTTCATGCAGATAAAGGCACATTGAGGAAGATTTCTGCCAGATCCATGCATCGGATCAAGAGAGCAGCTGCTTAAATCCCATTACATAGCAGCAAACAGATATTTGAAGCTGCTGGTGCCTCTGGAGTCCCACGGACATCAAGGTGTAGAGTCCTCCAGAGTCTTGCAACTGTGCATAAACCTTCTATTCGGCCACCACTAACCAATGCTCACAAGCAGAAACGGCTGCATTGGGCAGAAAAATACATGAAGACTCATTTTCAAAAAGTCCTGTTCACCGATGAGTGCCGTACAACCCTGGATGGTCCAGATGGATAGAGTAGTGGATGGTTGGTGGACAGCCACCCTGTTCCAACAAGGCTGCGACGTCAGCAAGGCGGTGGTGGAGTCATGTTTTGGGCCGGAATCATGGGAACAGAGCTGATCGGCCCCTTTAGAGTCCCCGAAGGTGTAAAGATGACCTCTGCAAAGTATGTGGAGTTTATGACTGACCACTTTCTTCCCTGGTACAGAAGGAAGAACTATGCTTTCCGTAATAAAATCATCTTCATGCATGACAATGCACCATCTCATGCTGCAAAGAATACCTCTGCATCAATGGCTGCTATGGGGATAAAAGGAGAGAAAGTCATGGTGTGGCCTCCATCCTCCCCTGACCTCAATCCTATTGAGAATCTTTGCAGCATCCTCAAGCAAAAGATCTATGAGGGTGGGAGGCAGTTTACATCCAAACAGCAGCTCTGGGAGGCTATTCTGACATCTTGCAAACAAATTCAAACAGAAACTGTCCAAAAACTCCCAAGTTCAATGGATGCGAGACTTGTGATCTGTTATCAAATAAGGGGTCCTATGTTACAATGTTTAAAACACGGTGTACATGGAAAAAAAGTTTGAATGGCTAAATATAGGAATACTAATGCAGGCCATAGACGGGTTGAAAATCGGCCGATTTTTCGGCCGAAAAAAAAAAAAAAAAAAGTGCATAGTGCTGTTCAAATAGGAGTGTTAGCGTAGCGTTGCGTCGCGGCAAAACGGACGCCTCTGGTCGAGTCAGGAGAAGTTGAAGCCTCCTATTCAAGTCTATGGTGCCACTCCGCAAAGGCCAGCTGGGTTGCGAGGAGTTTGTGGAGCGGTAACACCATTCAAACTTCATTATAGTCGTTTGTGGGGCGTTTTTAACGCTTGGCAAACGCCTAGCAACCGCCGCTAAACCACGCATGCGGCGTTTGCGGAGCGTTAAAAAACGCCAGACCAACGCTTGTCAAACACTATAGGGGCGTTTGGCAAGAGTTGGAAAAACAGTCAAGTGTGAACGAGCCCCAACTCATTTTTTTAAACATTTAAAAAACATTTTTTTTTACTTATTTTTTTTTTCCCGGTGATTTTTTGCTTTCAGGTTTTCTTTGAGACATCCAAGGTCTACAAGACCCTGGATGTCTCCCCTGTGCTCCACTGAATGTAATGCACTTCGCACTGCATTACATTCTTTCCCGGCCTCGATGGCTGGGAATCGGTCAATGGGGACCCGGAAGTGACGTCACTGGGACTAGAAGGGGAAGGGAGTGGATGTGTCCGCTCTCCTCCCTCCTCTATGCCGACACCCACTGAACCATTCTGGCCTGCAGATGAACAAGCAGAGCCGGGACATATAGCTGGGGGGGGGGGGGGGGGCAGACACTGGCACTGTGGGCTGTGTGGTAGCAAGAATGTTTCTACCTGACAGGTGAGCCCGCTGCTTACCCGCAGCAGGGCTAATTGTAGGGGAAAAATAAAAAACATTTAAAAACTACCTGCGCGGTGCCCAGAACTACGTGTCCCGGGTGTCAGGCGATTTAAATTGAACATCCCTGAAGCAGCCTGTTCTACTTTTTTTTTCTGCAACTGGAACTACAAGCACTGATGTGAGCTATGACACAGACAACCATATCACCTACTTTCTGTGCGTTTTAGACGCAGAAAAAAATAAATAAACTGAAAAAACGCATGTAGTGTGAACTGGCCCCATACTGATCTACAGCTAAAAAGGAATATGTGCTTTTGCTGTGTTCTTACCACGTTTGCAGGGCGCTTTTTTTTTTTTTTTTTTTTTTTTTTTTTACACTGGACATGCGATGCAAAAATTATACCAAAAACTCAGCACAGGTGCGTTTTTGCTGCATTTTCCATTCATTTCAATGGGGAGGTGCATATATATATATATATATATTTTTGTTTGTTTTTGTTTGTTTTTTTACACTGGACATGTGGCTCAAAAATTACACCGAAAACTCAGCGCAGGTGTGTTTTTTGCTGCATTTTCCATTCATTTGCATTTTTTTTTTTTTTTTTTTTTTTTTTTTACACTGGACGTGACTCAAAAATTACACCAAAAACTAAGCGCAGGTGCGTTTTTGCTGCATTTTCCATTCATTTCAATGGGGAGGTGCATATTTTTATTTTTTTTATACTGTACCAAGAATGCAGCAAGTATGACTCTGAAAATCGCACCGGACCTGTAACAGATCAGTGTGAAGAGTTCCATAAAAATACATGATCACACATTTTTCTTAAACCAAAAAGCGTAAAACAGATCAGTTCCGCAGGCCACACATGGGTGGAATTACAAACGAATGTCTTTTTGAAAATCAGAAGAATTTTTCATTCACACTTCGCCCCATTAGTGGGCAGCATCATCGGCAAATTTTCATTTGGCCATCGAATGTGAGTGATCGGGCATGTTGGAATTTTTTTTGAATGAACGAATTTCTAATCAATGATGGGAGAATCCTGCGAGAAATATCTTTGAAAAAGAAATGAGCGTTAGCTGTGACCTGGAAAGAAAAGATTCCCAGCCACGAATATACTTTTCTGTAGTAACATGAGGAGAAAATGAAGGCTTGGTTGGTCGAATTTCGTCAGATTACAAAATTTCTGATTTTCTAAAGAAAATTTGTTCAGAATTCAACCCGAGTGCGGCCTGCATTAGTGTTCAACTTCACTACTTCTCATGTAATTCAGGAAGAGAAAATGTACTGAAAACACAAATCATTTATTATTGAATGGCTAAAAGTTAGGAAATGTAATAAAGTGTCGAACAAGGAAAACATTTTCCTAATTTTTATACTACTTTTGTGCCCTCGGATTCGAAAATGATTTTGTTGTTCCAACTGGAGCTACCTTGAGTCCAGGTTCATATATGTGCTACCCGTGATCTGCGCAGGCAAGAGAACCTATTCATTCGAATGGGCTCCCGTGCCCCGGGACACGCAGGGAAGAAGTCCCTGATCTTCTTCGGAAATCGCAGCCCGCATGGGAACCTCGGTTTCCAGTACGGTTGCGATTTCCAGTGCAGGTGGCGTGCCGTTAGAACCAAAGGCACCCACCCGCGGGTCCCACATTCCTCTGTGTGGGTGGTGCGGCTGCAGGTATTTGTGGGGTCCCCATTCCTCTGTGTGGGTGGTGCGGCTGCAGGTATTTGTGCGGATCCCGCATTCCTCTGTGTGGGTGGTGCGGCTGCAGGTATTTGTGCCGGTCCTATATTCCTCTGTGTGGGTGGTGCTGCTGCAGGTATTTGTGCAGATCCCGCATTCCTCTGTGGGTGGTGCGGCTGCAGGTATTTGTGCGGGTCCCACATTCCTCTGTGTGGGTGGTGCGGCTGCAGGTATTTGTGCGGTCCCTGCATTCCTCTGTGTGGGTGGTGCGGCTGCAGGTATTCGTGCCGGTCCTGCATTCCTCTGTGTGGGTGGTGCGGCTGCAGGTATTCGTGCCGGTCCTGCATTCCTCTGTGTGGGTGGTGCGGCTGCAGGTATTCGTGCCGGTCCTGCATTCCTCTGTGTGGGTGGTGCGGCTGCAGGTATTTGTGCCGGTCCTGCATTCCTCTGTGTGGGTGGTGCGGCTGCAGGTATTTGTGGGGTCCCGCATTCCTCTGTGTGGGTGGTGCGGCTGCAGGTATTTGTGCGGATCCCGCATTCCTCTGTGTGGGTGGTGCGGCTGCAGGTATTTGTGCGGGTCCCGCATTCCTCTGTGTGGGTGGTGCGGCTGCAGGTATTTGTTGTGCAGTCCCGCATTCCTCTGTGGGTGGTGCGGCTGCAGGGATTTGTGCAAGTCCCACATTCATCTGTGTGGGTGGTGCGGCTCCCACATTCCTCTGTGTGGGTGGTGCGGCTGCAGGTATTCGTGCCGGTCCTGCATTCCTCTGTGTGGGTGGTGTGGTATTCGTGGCGGTCCCGCATTCCTCTGTGTGGGTGGTGCGGCTGCTGCAGGTATTTGTGTGGGTCCCGCATTCCTCTGTGTGGGTGGTGCGGCTGCAGGTATTTGTGCGGGTCCCGCATTCCTCTGTGTGGGTGGTGCGGCTGCAGGTATTTGTGCGGATCCCGCATTCCTCTGTGTAGGTGGTGCGGCTGCAGGTATTTGTGTGGGTCCCATATTCCTCTGTGTGGGTGGTGCGGCTGCAGGTATTTGTGCAGATCCCGCATTCCTCTGTGGGTGGTGTGGCTGCAGCATCTGTGTGGGTGGTGCAGCTCCCACATTATCTGTGTGGGTGGTCCCACATTCCTCTGTGTGGGTGGTGCGGCTGCAGGTATTTCGTGCGGTCCTGCATTCCTCTGTGTGGGTGGTGCGGCTGCAGTATTGTGGGGGGGCATTCCTCTGTGTGGGTGGTGCGGCTGCAGTATTTGTGGGTCCCCCATTCCTCTGTGTGGGTGGTGCGGCTGCAGGGATTTGTGCGGATCCCATATTCCTCTGTGTGGGTGGTGCGGCTGCAGGGATTTGTGCGGGTCCCCATATTCCTGTGTGTGGGTGGTGCAGCTGCAGGTATTTGTTCGGGTCCCACATTCCTCTGTGTGGGTGGTGCGGCTGCAGGATTTGTGCGGGTCCCATATTCCTCTGTGGGTGGTGCGGCTGCAGGGATTTGTGCGGGTCCCATATTCCTGTGTGGGTGGTGCGGCTGCAGGGATTTTGTGCGGGTCCCATATTCCTGTGTGGGTGGTGCGGCTGCAGGGATTTGTGCGGGTCCCATATTCCTGTGTGGGTGGTGCGGCTGTAGGTATTTGTGCCGGTCCCACAGCGGCACCGCCTGCACAGATGTGAACCTAGCCTAAATTTTAAGGAGAAACCACAAATTGGCTAACACCCCGGTCATTACAGGTGCGATTTGCATGTCATGCGACTTGGAAATTGTATGCCAAGTCACACCCTATTGTCCGCTATTAGAGAGGTCACATTGGTGCGGTTCTGACTTGGTTGGAGCCGCACCGATTTGTAAAGTAGCACATGCACTACTTTTGTTGGGACATGCATAGACATCTGTGTCCGATGTCTTGCAATCGCATGGAAATCGGCAGGTCACCTGATTTTGAAATTGTGCAACTTCACTGTAAGTCGCACAATGTCAGAATCGGCTTTGATGTGACCAGGGTGTCAAACTAAAAAAAAAAAAAAAAAAAAAAAAAAAAAAAAAAAAAAAGTAAACCACTGCCTGAGTGTTAAAGTGTTACTAGACCCACAACAGTACAATCAGTCTGTATATGCCGTAAAGCATGCTTGTTATACTCACTGTGGAACCTAAGGGGTTAATCCTCTGCATTGTGTAAAAAGGATGTTTAATCCTGTCTACTCTGATCCTCCCCTTCTACTGTCCCCAATCCCTGATTTCCCCCCCTTCTACTGTCCCCAATCCATCTGCTGATAGAACAGAGCTGTGGGGGCAAGCTGCACATGCTCAGTTTGGTGTGTATTAGTAGAGGGTTTTTTTTTTTTTCTTTTCTTCTTTGGGAGGGTGCATGTGATCAACACAGGGCCAATCAGCACTGTGCAAACTGAGGTCAGGTGTCCTGCATCCTCCCAAAGCAAAATGAAAACTCCTTCTACAAGCTTTAACCACTGCTCTGCTGGACACTGATATAAGTCACAAGACTGCTATATACTGCTGATGAGAAAAGGTGTTTAGCAGTTTATATTTACTAAAATAATTTCATTTCCATGTTGTGTGTACTGTGGCAGAGCGGACACAGGGCGCGCAGGGACCGGGCAGAGCGGGACACAGGGCGCGCAGGGACCGGGCAGAGCGGACACAGGGCGCGCGCGGGCAGGGACACAGGGCGCGCAGGGAGAGGGAGCGGACACAGGGCGCGCAGGGACCGGGCAGAGCGGACACAGGGCGCGCAGGGACCGGGCAGAGCGGACACAGGGCGCGCAGGGACCGGGCAGAGCGGACACAGGGCGCGCAGGGACCGGGCAGAGCGGACACAGGGCGCGCAGGGACCGGGCAGAGCGGACACAGGGTTTAGTAACACAGCTTTGCACCTTCAATGAAGTACAGCTGAGCAAAAACTGCGCTACTTTCGGACGATACAGCAGCATCCCAGTAAATGATCGCTGTGCAGGTCGTTTGGGTTGCTGTAAAGCTTTAGAAGAGAATATATATATATATTTTACAAACACTACACCAGCAGAAGAGAGAACATTTCCCTAATGGCACAAAATTTAACATTCGTCAACAACCTAAACCAATGTATTGTTTGTGAAATGTTCAACAATCACAGCACACAACGGGCCAAGATGTCAAAGGCTCAATGTTGTCCGGGGGGAGACTTGCAAAAGTGTAACATTTTTAAACGTTCGGTTGTACAAGGCGGCTCAGAATGATATTCATTCATTTGGTCGGTCAGATGACTCAAACATAATCTGCATTTTCACTAGTAACTAAAATGTGGTTTTACTTATTTGTTGAGTGGAAGATAAATAAAAATGTATCAAATGGACCAGAGAGCTACTTCAATGTTTGTTGCATGCTGTAACACAAATGTTGAAGTTGTGACTATACAGGTAGATTGGGGGTCGTTTTAGATTGGTACAATACAGGTAGTTTTGGATATTTTAGGTTACTACTACTATACAGGCCAGGTTGGGCTGCCGTAAAGGGATTTGAGTAGTTTTAGATTATTACTATACAGGTAATTTTGGATATTTCAGGTTATTACTATGCAGGTAGTTTGGGTAGTTTTAGGTTAGTACTATGCAGGTAGTTTGAGGTGAGTACTATGCAGGTAGTTTGGGTAGTTTGAGGTGAGTACTATGCAGGTAGTTTGGGTAGTTTTAGGTTAGTACTATGCAGGTAGTTTGAGGTGAGTACTATGCAGGTAGTTTGGGTAGTTTTAGGTGAGTACTATGCAGGTAGTTTGGGTAGTTTTAGGTTAGTACTATGCAGGTAGTTTTAGGTGAGTACTATGCAGGTAGTTTTAGGTGAGTACTATGCAGGTAGTTTTAGGTGAGTACTATGCAGGTAGTTTTAGGTGAGTACTATGCAGGTAGTTTTAGGTGAGTACTATGCAGGTAGTTTGGGTAGTTTTAGGTGAGTACTATGCAGGTAGTTTGGGTAGTTTTAGGTTAGTACTATGCAGGTAGTTTGGGTAGTTTTAGGTGAGTACTATGCAGGTAGTTTTAGGTGAGTACTATGCAGGTAGTTTTAGGTGAGTACTATGCAGGTAGTTTTAGGTGAGTACTATGCAGGTAGTTTTAGGTGAGTACTATGCAGGTAGTTTTAGGTGAGTACTATGCAGGTAGTTTTAGGTGAGTACTATGCAGGTAGTTTGGGTAGTTTTAGGTGAGTACTATGCAGGTAGTTTTAGGTTAGTACTATGCAGGTAGTTTTAGGTTAGTACTATGCAGGTAGTTTTAGGTGAGTACTATGCAGGTAGTTTTAGGTGAGTACTATGCAGGTAGTTTTAGGTGAGTACTATGCAGGTAGTTTTAGGTGAGTACTACTATGCAGGTAGTTTTAGGTGAGTACTATGCAGGTAGTTTGGGTAGTTTTAGGTGAGTACTATGCAGGTAGTTAGTTTTAGGTGAGTACTATGCAGGTAGTTTTAGGTGAGTACTATGCAGGTAGTTTTAGGTGAGTACTATGCAGGTAGTTTGGGTAGTTTTAGGTGAGTACTATGCAGGTAGTTTGAGGTTAGTACTATGCAGGTAGTTTGAGGTTAGTACTATGTGGGTAGTTTGGGTTGTAATAATTGATCACTAGACCGGTAGTTTTGTTTGTGGCAAAGCTTTGAAGAAGCTGAAAAAGAAAAAAAGGCAATTTACACGTGTAGACAGCTTACACAACATATCTTCTGCTGTTCTACCCGATGGTTTTTGAAGTATTAGCTTGAGTAGTAATTTATCACATACCAAAGACGTGACTAACAATTCAATGTACACATCTGAAAAAAAAAATGTTTTTGAACAACAAATCGAGGCTTGCTTTCTCAACATGTCCAATACACAGGAAAACACAAAAGCAAGATTAAAAAAGGACTGAGCAATTTTATGTAGAAAAAAAAAAAAAAAATCTAAAAAATTAATTCTCCAGAACTAAAAGATCTGACTGTTCTCTCATGGCTGAAATCTGCCAGCAAGGTGAAGAACAATGACCAAAAATAGACGAAAAGTGACAAAACTCTCAAAGCAAAAACAATCCACAGCCAAGATTGTAAGCAGAAGAAAAAAAAAAAAAAAAAACAAAAAGGAAAAAAAAAAAAAAGTTATTTCTTATCCCTAGGTTAGGAGCTCAAAACTATTTCAAAAATGTTTACAAGCCAATACACGTGGGGGAAAAAATACCCTCTGCTACATAATGTGAGGAAGTCATTACAAGACCGAGGAGAACAAACACTTTTTTTTTTTTTTTCCTCTCTAACAAGTCTAGCTGCAGAAAAACAGATGGAGACAAAATATAAACTGAAAATAGACGGAGGCAAAATATAAACAGATTTTTTTTTTAAATAACCGGCTCCGAAAGTATTCAGTATCTTATCAAACCGTTGATTGTAAATAAACTGTATTATAACGGAGTCTTACGAGAAAAGCTGGGAAATGTTGTACTAATTTGTTCTGTTGGTGGATAGATTTGGGTGTTGGGTATTTATTTTCAATATGTTGTAGTGTTTCTATAAAATCGGTCTGTATTTGATCTGTATTATAAGGAAGTCCTATAAGGGAAGTTGGGAATTGTACTAATATGTTCCGTAGAGGACGGATGAAATTTGGTGGGAGGCATTTTGTCATTTAAAGTTGTAGTGCGTTTCTAGATTATATGTTTTGCTTACATTTGATCTTATCAGTTTTTATTTCAGCTTTATAATAAAGAAAACAAACAAAATGTATAAAGTGAACAGCGCGCTACCACCTCTAATTGTGATGATCTACCGCGTAAACAATATCCTAAACTTGTTTACATGATGGATCACCACAATTGGAGGTAGTAGAGATTTTCATTTTATTTTTTTGGGTGTTTACATCAAATAGGATAGCAGCCGCACTGTTAATTATTTGATATAAGCTGAAATACCGTGGAGAGATTCTGAATTTATTTTTCCATATTTATTATAAAGAAGTCTTATAAAAAAAAAAAAAGGAAGTTGGGAATCCCTGTACTATACATATTCTTTAGAGGATGGAAAGAATTGAGTGGACTTATTTTGTTTTAGTTTTATATGATGTCTCCATGTTAATATGTATCTGTTTGCATGTGAGCTGTATTAAATCCAAGAACATGCTTGTAGGTTAATTGGCTCCTGTCTAAATTGGCCCTTGTATATGAATGTGAGTTAGGGACCTTAGATTGGACGCCCCTTGAGGATTAGGGAGTGATGTGAATGTACAATATATATGTAAAGCGCTGCGTAAATTGACGGCGCTACATAAGTACATGAAAATAAATAATAGGAAGTCTAAGGGGGAAGTTGGGAATAGTTTTTTTTTTTTGTTTTTTTTTTTTGTTGTTTTTTTTAGGTACTTTATATAGCGCCATCAATTTACGCAGCACTTTACACATATACATTTCAAAAAGGATGGATGAAATTGAGCGGGAGTATTTTATTTTTATGTTTTAGTGTG